GTCCCCCCACTGGGGGCCCTCACGGGTAAGGGGGAGCACGTCACCCACCGCGACCACTACAGCGTAAGGGACAGTGTGTCACCCACCACGGCCAGTACAGAGTAAGGGGGAGCATGTCACCCGCCGCTACAGCATAAGGGACAGTGTGTCAACCACCACGGCCGCTACAGCGTAAGGGACAGTGTGTGACCCATCGCAGCCACTACAGCATAAGTGGGAGCACATCACCCACCGCGGCCACTATAGCATAAGGGACAGGGTGTCACCCACCACGGCTGCTACAGCGTAAGGGACAGGGTGTCACCCATCGCGGCCACTACAGCGTAAGAGGTCCGTGTGAGCACGGCCTCGGCAAGTACTGAAGTCACCACAGTCCTAGCGGGCCGGCTTTCAATTAGTATGATTAATTTTTCTTTTGCAGCTTGCTTGCAGCATTCTGTGGCTGATAGCCCCTCACAGGCATCTGGCCTCATGCATGTGCATACGCCGACTGCTGGATCAAACCGTTTAACCTTGGACTTCAATACAGCCAAAAGCAAACACTGCCGGCAGGGCTGGCAACCGCAGCCTTGCTCCCTGCATGTAGGAACTGAGCCGTGATACGCGGTGTTTACTCGATCAGTTTCAGATCAGCCCTCAGTGTTTGCTCTGGAAATAGCATTTGCTTCTTCTCACAAACAAGACTGGTGAGTCGACACATAACACGCCAGGGTCCCAAGCAATGATGCCGGCCATAAAACTGGAACACGGGGCCCTGCGCCTCCAGCCAGGGCGTGGTAAGGGCCCAGAGGTGACTGACCTGTGCCCCCGTGAATGTCCACTGCACCATGCTCTGCACACAGGGACGTTCTTGCCCCTGCAACCATCTGGGCTTCGGACACCTCTGTCTTACAACGAGGACAGGTGAGATGGGAGAAGTCAGCCAAGTGGTCCAGGTGACACAGCTGCAAAGAGGCCAAACCCGCTCCTTTATGTAAGTCGGGATGGGGACGGCAGGCTAGCGCTCGATTTAAACCATGTCACAAGAGCCTCATTCTCAGAATGTCACGGAACAGAACGAGAGTGCATTTCTAGCAGTCACTCACAGAGGGCCGCTTTGTCCCAGACTCCCAAGTCAAAGCCTACGAATTCCCATGTTAACCTCCCGCTTCCTGACGAAAAGGAGGAGCCATGAGGCTGCACCTCGCGCTGAGACAGCACACCAGACGTCCAGCCCCATCGCAATGCTCTCCGACCCCATTTCACAGAGGAGGAAGCTGGGCACCCAGAGTCTAAGCAGCA